AAAATGCTAGTAGCCAACTGCACGCCCAACATGGGCGTGCACTGCACTGTCGGGCGCCCGAGATGGGCTTTTGAATGTTTAGCCCATTTTTTTCGATCGAAAAGACGGAATTTTTACCTCGCTGTGTCCGCTATCCAGATCTTCATCCGATTAACTCATTTATGTTCGTATATCACACCAATAAGAATGATTTGTGAAGAAATCGTCTTGAGAGCGATTTTTTTTAGAGAGAGAGAGAGTCTTTGAACGGTAAATAGCAATTTTCAAACGGTAAAAAGCAAATCCCAGTAATATACACCCTCGATTATTAAAATAGAACTAGTGGTGACTTTTTTATTAGAAAAAATCAACAGTATTGCTATTTCTAACAATAATCTATTCTTTAAGAGCAACTCCAGTGGAGGAATTAAATGGGGAATTAAATGGAATAACTTCTATTTTGATGCTCCAAAACATAAATTTTCATCTCCAATGGGGGAATTAAATTGGTAGTTATTTTGATATTCAACTTCCCGAGATGCAAAAATGCATCCTGGAAAAAGAGGTATCAAAACATTAACTACCCAACAAACCAATTAAAAATTGACACGTGTTAATATTAAATATATTTATGCTTATATTTAAAATTAGATGATTCATTTAATGCTTACGGTTGGAGTAAATGAGTATCAAAATAATAAAACGAGTATCAAATTAATATTTGATGATCGATTTTGATACTTTACCATTGGAGTTGCTCTAACCCCATTCATGTTCTTCTATCTTGACTAAAATTAATAGTAAATTATAAATAGTAGATACTAGATTGTAAAAAAGAAATACTACTAATTACGCATTGAACTCCTGAACAAATATTTAAAATGGCAGGAGATGAAGTTCTATTTTCAAGAAAAATAATTTAATAAAATATTTATAAAACGTCTTTAATGTTTTTAGCTTATTATTTCAAATCAATTTGGAGCCATAATAATTTATTTAGATGGTGGGAAGTATTTAAGGATAAAAATAATAAGAATTAAAGGAGAAAAGAGAAAAAGCAAAACACCAAAAGAAGTAATTGACAACACTACAGCAGAACACTACACTAAATTACACCACCGCTCCACCACCGAGAATCTACATAGCCCCGCCGCCGCCGACGGCGACGAATCCGCCACCGCTTCCACCGGCGGCAGAACTCTCCCGTCAGCAAACAAAGCCCTCCCATTTCTCGGCATCTCCTGAACTATCCCTTCTTCCATCTCCGCCGCCTGCCCACCACCACCACCGCCGCCGCCGCCGCCGTCACCAAATCTCCTCTCCACCTCCAAATAATCCCCAAGAGACGCCCTTCTGGATCCACACTCGTCCCTGCACAGCCTCCACCACTGCCGCCTCTGCCGCGCCGCCGCCACCGTCCTGCCCTTGGGTTTCTTATTCCTCCGACCACCGCTCACGGCGGAGGCGGGGATTTCCTGCTGGCGGTGCTGGGAGGCCGCTCTGAATGTGATGGCTTGGAGGGTTACCCCCATTAGGGTTCCCAGCGATGTGCTTCTGTCGTGGAAGAATGAACCCGTCGACTGTGTGTTTTTTTTCACACACACACACAAAAACACCAAAACTTTATAATGTGTTCTTACATTTTTCATAAACATAAATGAATGAATAAATAAAATTAGGAGTAAAAACAGTTGTTTAAAATTAATTAAATTACCTCGGTGTCAAGATCAGAAGAGGAGATGGAAGAAGCAGTGGGGGAGGAAGGTGGTGGCAACACATCATTTGCTGGATCTAACATCACCTTCTAGTGCGTGTTACTGTGTGTTAAAATTGGGGTTTTCGGTGAAAATGTGTTTTTAAAAAAATAAATAATGGGTCTTTTTCTCTCCCACTATCTCTGTGATTTAGTGTGTAAAAATTGTGTGAAGATTGGGTGTTTTATTTTCTCACACTGTGTGTGTGTGTGTGTGTGTGTGTGTGTGTGTGTTTAGTGTGTGTGAGGTGTGAAATTGGGTAAGATAAATAATGATGGACATGAAAAGGGGAAACACCCCATGGTGTGTTCCTTGTCTATGCTGCAAAATTGATTTTCACTTACTTACACATCTGGAGCTTTGACATTGCAATCATGTTTTTTTTTTTTTTTTTTTTTAAAAAAAATTCAATTTATAAAAAGATAGAGTAAAATAACACCTAAACTTTGGATTTGGAATCCACCAAATTTTGATATCCTATTTCTTTATTCACATATAATGTGATATTGGGGTTAGATGCTACACCTTGTTATTTATTTGTTGTTTTGAACCATAAATTTGATTAAATAACTACTTACTAAGTACATATAACATGGGTGTTTGTGTAATTATGTGTAGTTACGGTTCAAATCTTCCCAGTGGAAATAATCAGGTGTAATATCTAATTTTCTGTATAAAATACATAATAATATTGACATTATAAATATTATCGTAAAATCATTGTAAGTCGTCAGTATGTTACTTAAAGTCGTTGAAGTATCACTCAAAAAACTGCTATAGAGAAATTATATGATGTCGGAGTTTGCCAAAAAATAACTGATTGTCTCCGACGACCGCCGCAATAAAAAAAATGTAGTGGATGCAGGAATTTCCAAACCTTCATAGACAATCTTCACTTTTTCTGTTTGGAAATTTTCACCTTGAAAGGGGGAACTGTTATGCGTAACATAGGGTTTTCGGTGATTCGACTATATATGAGAGGGTTGTGGTAGTTTAAGCTATTTCATGGAGTAAGTCTAAGTGCAAGATGCTTAAAACAAGTTGCATGAGTAATTAAAGCATAATGTAGTAACTAAAAATAAAAATCAATTGAGTCTTGAAAATACTTGTCTAAACATCAATATCTAGATATGATCATTTTCAAGAGATTATTTAAATATTATTAATATAAGTCAAATGTATTGGTGAATTTAGGCAAGAAAAATGAAATTTTATTTGAAATAAATGATCCTAGCTACTTGATCAATTCCTATATGGTTTCAGTCAATTGGCATGACCATGTTGACTACTTCATCGATGAGCGTTCTGACGGTGATGTAGCGGGATTACTGAAAGTCGATGACACCGTCATGGCGTCGTCTATATGTTATATTTGTTGAAAATTAAGCTCTACTTATCTAGATAAGTTAAAAGTATTAAATGTTCTAGAATTATTGTGAATGTGAAAGTATAAATGAATGTGTATGTTATTTGATTTATGTACTTACTAGGGGAATTTTATTAGAGGCATAAAATTGCCGAAGTACTCTTTTATATTTGTAGAGTGCCAGAAAAGAAAAGAAACCTAAAAGAAAAGAATCTTAAAGTGAATTTATGTATTTGTGTTGATTGAGTGTGAAATATAGTTAAGTGTTTTCTCGAGATCGTTCCAATCAACTATCCATTATTTGCAATTTTCTCGAGATTGTTCCAGTCGATTTTACAGGAAAACATTTTGTTGAAGCGCTTGTAGAGGTTGCTAGGCAAAGGCATCGTGCGCGAAACTTAATCTCTCTCCTAATTAATGGGATGAATTCTCGCCGAGGGAGAATCTAATGTTCCGAATTTGCGGGACCTTGGCTTGTTGAGAGAGATGGGAAACGCCATCATCGAACCCCTTTTCTGAATAGCCAAATTGCAAAAAACTCATGACAAGAGCAATTAATTGAAAGACATTTTGTACGCCAACCAACACACTCTCCAGACTCCGAACGAGCTCGAATGGCGATTATCTCGAGCTCGAATCTATTGCACAACATCTTGACCCAACTGTGGCAGAAGCTAAAGCAGCTTTAATGGCGATTGAACTGACTCGAGATAACAATTGGTAGAGGATTGTTCTTGAAGGGGATTCGAGTGTTGTCATCGCCGCTGTCGGAGAACCGAATTGCAACGCGGACTACGACATGATTGTTAGCGATATTATCCGGATATGTTCTACGCTAATGGTGTTCAGAGTCCAGCATATTGCACGGGAAGGCAACAAGGCGGCGCACGAGATAGCAAGATTATCCAAAAATGAACTTATGACATATTGTTAGTATTACCTGATAGAAACCGTTCAATTATTTCTGCCGAATTGGCTTTATAAATGAAGTATTTTTCGACTCTAAAACAAAAAAACTGAAAGGCATTCAATTTTTTTGTCTTGCAAATATGGTATATCTATCAACATTTATATGCAACCAATGAAAACTCTCTTATATATATTAAAAGAGCAAATCTCACTAATAGTCCCTCATCTTAGTATTTAGTTCCACTTTAGTACCTCGGGTCCCAATTGTGTCATTATCATCCTTCAACTCTACAATTTATCTCAATATAGTCTTCGTTGTATAATTTAGTTAACTTTAACAGAATCTTTTGTTTATTGAATGAAATATTCTATTCTTACAATTATTTGTAATAAACTATAAATAAATTAATAAATACTAGAAATACATATATAATTGAATTAGTTCTTTAAGTATTAACATAAGATCATAAAAAATATAAATAATTTTTTGATAGAGAATAAATGTAGATGACATATTATAATTATTTAATTACGTTTCTAAATTATATCCACAAAATAGATGAGTCGTTTTATATTAATATAAATTAATATTTCGTAAAAGTAGTAGTTTTTAAGGTATATTATTGTTGGTTGCAAATATTATTTTTAAATTACAAACTTTATTACTAATTAAAAGAAGTCTTACTTTATCAAAAATAATTATAATAATGGAATATTCCATTATTTTTTTAAAATACTTTGTTAAAGTTAGCAGGTTTATACACAAGGGTGATAATGAGATAATTATAGAGATGAAGGATGAAAATCAAACAATTGAGACATGAGAGACTAAAGTGGAACTAAATTTGAAGATGATGGATCATTAATGAGATCCCTATCTTCTTGAAACCATAATTCTCCCCAATTTCATGGTTTAAACCCTAATTTAGCCACAATTTCACAATTTTAACTCCAATTTTGACCCCAACACAATTTTAACGCCAATTTTGACCGTCACCATCGGTCTCCGACTTTGATTTTTTTTTTTTTTTTTTTTTTTGAATTTTGAAAAATAAAATCTGAAACTTTTTTTCGGCCAGTCGCCGCCGTTGACTATTTTTTTTCCAAATTTTTTTTTTCTGAATTTATTTTCCCGACTTTTTGACCGCCATAAAATAATATTACTGCAATATTACCGCGTTGAATTAACACAATAATATTATTGTCTTGACATGCAATATTATTGTCTGAGACAGTAATATTGTTAGTAAGACACTAATATTACTGTGTGGGCTTGGCGTGTGTAAAAGTAAAACAGTAAGATCAGTGTTCCGTGTCCACAATAAAATCTTATTATGTTATTACTTACTATGTTGATCCCCATCCATTTTCTGATTTGAGTCCATAATTCCCGTTACATTAATCTTATTTTGCAGAATGTAGCTTCTTACCACATTCTGTTTGAGGGGTCTACCTCACTTTTATTAATGTGGAATGTCGGAAGAGTGTTAATTAACAAAATTAACTACAAGAATCAAAATAATACAACAATTAACATTCCACATTTAAATATACTTAGGAAATAAAGTAACAAGTACAAAACATACATTTACAACAAATTCAAAAACTAAATCAATTAATCAATGAAAATTAACTATAGCGTTTTTTTCTTCTCCTTGATGGCCAAGAATTGATCTTGAAACGCCCTCGAACGTTTCCTCTCATCCTTCAACTTGTGAACATACTCCATCAAAACACGCTTATTCTTGAACTCGTTTCCCTTGGCCTTCATGTATACCTCACGGTGCACATGCCTGTCGATTTTTCCGGCGTCTCGGTAGCGGCGGAGAAGGCGGCGCAACACCCTTATCCGTCGCATCCATTGAAGCTTCGACGGAGAACGTGCTTCTTTAGTTCCCTTTCGCTTCCCGTTTCCCGAGTGCCTGCCCTTTTTCTTTGCCTCCATGACTTCTCTAGCGCGTGATCTCGAGTGGAGCTTTGAAGGCCTCTTGAGGATGAAACCATCTTTCATGAGCTTCCTCATATTCATCCCTTCCATAGATAGATTAATACATTAATTATATATATTCTTTTAAAGGTACCTTTTCTTTTCTTACACAATGTCTCCTTGCTAAATGCGAACGATTACGGGTGGAAATTGGAATGGAAAATTTTCGAATTATGCGGATTAAATACGAAAATTTCCAAATTTAGAAAAAAATAAAAATTCATTCCAAAGTCCAAAATTACAAATTTGGACTTTTTCAAATTTTTTTTTATCGGAATCGATTCGTGACTCCATCATTGTGACCCAAACAAGCGTTAACTTACTAGCAACTTCAATAATTAACTCAGATTACTAAACCCAAACTCGACTAGAGTAATTCGTAATGAGAAATTTATAGTTTTCATCCCTCAAGTTTGCACCGATTTCACATTTGATTCAAAATGTTCACAAAAACACACATTTGGTCCCTCATATTTCAATAATTTAATTGAACAATTTCGGTCTTTTTCGTCAATTTATCATTAGCCCGTCAGTTAATAAAATGATGGCCACACACTTAATTCCGCTAGTTTTAACGGAAAATTGACAAAAAATGACAAAAAATGTTGAATTTTTGAAACACGAGGGACCAAATGTGTTTTTTTGTGAATACAGGGATCAAATGCGAACGGAGTGCAAACTGTATTTTCTCAATTCTTAGTACTACCACTTAAGCATCATATCAAATTTTCACAAGCTTTACAAGCATAATTTCATTAATAAGAGGAGATGAATATGTAAAGATATAGTAGAAGTAGTGATTGAAAGAGATAGATAAAATAGAGAATAAAACATACTCGAATTGGCCATGGAGATATGAATGGTCTCGTTCGGGTCCATCCACACCTTCGCTTTCCCACACTTGAAAATGTTTGCTGCTAATCTCTTTTGTAGCCTTAATGAAACCATTTTGCCTTTTCTTTTTCAACCTAAATACAGCAGAAATGACTAATTATTATTATTTTTAAATAAGAAGAAAAGCAGTATATATATATAATATATGAATGAATTATTCAAGTGTAGTTTGTACCAAGCTTGTTTCTCTTTTGTGCTGGTTTTGTGTGAGTTACAGTCCTACGAGATTCCTTTTTATAGAGGAAAAGTCAATAACAGCATAGAATAAATTATACTTATTTATTGGACAGAACAGTAAGTTGTAGATTTCGTGAAGAAAACAATTTTTAAGAATACGAATCAGATCAAGGAAAATTGAGCATGGTCGTGTTTTAATTTCTTGGGACCCAAGTTTGTAATATTTCTTATTGTTGGTCAACTGATACATACCACATTTTCCTTGCAGCCTACGACAGAAAGTTGGGTTTTTTTTTTTTTTCCAACTTTGTATACTGTTAAATTTTAAATTAAACAACCACAACTTGGCTGAGTGGCGTAAGCCGCGTAACCACATCCTAAATTGAAAAAAAAATGTATATAAAATAAAGGGTAAATTACAACCACCTCCCTGAGGTATGATCAAATTACGAAAATTCCCCCCTTGTTTGTGTAATTACAACCACTCCCCTCAACTATAAAATTTAGTGGAATCTTCTACATTATATTGAATATTATCACTTTTGTACCCCTTTTATCCCATTCAAACTGCACATTTTGAAGCAAGATGATCATAATATGTGTTTTTTGGCTTGTATATGTCAGATTGTAATGCATCAAAAACTGTATTTTTACACAAAATGAGTAAAAACTAGAGCACATTCCACGAAATCCAGATAATTATGTTGAATTTGACACCAGAAGGGTGGAAGTGTAAGAAAAAATCACAGTTGAGGGGTCGATGTAATTATTCAAACAAAAGGGATTTTTTCGTAAATTGACCAACTATCAATCTTCTTACATGTCAAAAAACTTGTTGGCCGAAAACCTACACGCAAGTGCACGTATCGTACAAGTAATATAGTGGACTAAAAGTCCGGATATCGAACCCACAGGGAATATTTAATTATCTAATCCTAGACGCTAAATTCTACCAATTATTATCAAGCCCACCCTACACAGTCGAATTTTAGAGAGAATTAATTAAACTAAATTAAAAAGCAAATTAAAAAGACAAGAACACGAAAGTAATAAAAAACGAAGGTTTAATCAGAGTAAACAAGCCAAGGATTTTATTCTTCCCCCTATGTGATTATTATTCCCCCAATTCCTTCAATTATGCAAGGAATTAGCCTGGATTATTAACCTGAGATGCTAATTTAATCATAACCCGCTTCCGCGTGTATTACGATTCTAATACTCTAGATTCAATTACTATATTCCTATGCAATTAATTCTAGAACACAACATTAATTATCAAAAAAAAATAATTCTAGAACACAACATTAAGCACAAATCTCAATAATGGCTACCTAAGAGATTAACTATATTCCTATGTTAATACCAAAAGGCTCTTCTACCACAGTTCTAATTATTAACCCGATCTTCCGATTCATGCGATTAACAATAACATAAAAGCACATAAGTTGATCAAGTTCATGCACTTAATAAAACAAGTAGAAGAAATAATCCGAAATTAAAACTTGCATAAAATCATAGAATTGAGTTCATAAATCCCACATAGGGTTCCAAATAAAATCCTAGAAATAAGAAAATTAGCTACTCATGATTAAAGGAAAAACACATATAAAATAAGTCATAAACGATAAATCTATGCTTAGAGTCTTCGTTATTGCTTTGTTGCTCTCCAAATTGCGTAAAAAGATACCCAATTGTGTGCTTGGCTTGGTCTTATATAGGGTGAAGAACTTGGGGAAGAAGGTAGTTTCCTATTGCAATTAAAATCCCTTTACTGCGCAACTTCAGAGTCTCGGACGGGGGTCCCATAATTTGCACTAAAACTGGGACGGGGGTCCGAGCTTTAAATCTTCAGAATTTTGATATTTTCACTTTTGACCCATATTTTCGCCCAAATTGCAGTTTTGACCCTATACTTTTCCAATTCTTCAATTTGTACCTAAAATACAATAAATCAACTTTTTAAGCACCAATTATCGTTAAAACACACCAAAAGCTCAAATAAAAAGATACGATAAAGTGTAAAAATATACACTTAACACACCCCCAAACTTGAACTTTTGCTTGTCCTCAAGCAAAATCTACCAATAAGCAAATAACTCAACGATAACATCTCATCACATAGATCAATGATCAATTTCACGTTTTCAGAACTTGTAATTATAATGACAATTCTTAGGCATTCGCAAGCTCAAAATTCAACAACACTTAGTCACTCACCATTACCAAAAACCACAATTCATACAATTGCTTCAAGCATCCAATATTTGCAAATTAAAGATAGAAAGAATTTATACTTACATGCATATGCTTGACTCCAAATACTCACCAAATTATTCTACTCTACTAATATCGAACATTAAGCTATTGGGATCATTGGGGCTTTGTGGCTTTCAATTGTTAGGCTCTTTGGTTCGAGGTAGGAAATATGGGTATGTGTGGCTATTCTTCTTGAATTTAGGTGATTACGCCAAAATTTGAAAGATAGGCGTTTGAAACAATGAATTCACCTCTACGGACTTTAATAAACTCGATTCTCAAAAGTTCAAAAGTCTCCACTTTTGCTTTTGAGGCAATGGATCGAGTTTTCAAAAATAATTCAACAACTAGTCCTTATTTCTCCCTTCTAGTCTCTTCTTCTTCTTTTTTTTTTTTAATAGATATATATATATATATAAGCATATATATTTATCTCTCTTTTTTATTTCGGTTTTTTATAAGAAGAAGGACCTTATAAAAATTTTCGACCGAACTCCAAGGGGTAATTTTTCAAGAATCTCCACCTATTCTACCTTACACATTGGCTAAAAGAAAGAACACCTTTTCTTCGAGGCTCAAATCAAGGTTCTAAGGATAATTTTGATAAAAAAGTCGGCTTGAAAGGCTCAAACGGTTCAAAGAAAGCCCAAATCATATCCCAAATCACTCACTACTCAATACTTCGTATCATAAATTTCCTAAGGTGAGTTCTAAAACCGAACATAGCATGATCTAGCACAAATAAATTCCAAATTTAAAATACAAAACATTCAACCAAAGCAATGCACAAAATGTGATTCCTAGCAATAATTCGCTTCTAAGTCCCGTTGAATCGAAAGCTAAACAAACATCAAATCCTTATCACACAAAACAAGCAATCTCATCATCAAACATTGATCATCTCTCATCATCATAAATCATCGATGAATTCGACTCAAGCAATTTTTTTTTTTTTTTTTTTTTTTTTTTTTTTTTTTTTTTTTTATGTTCCGGAAAACGATAAAAACAATAAAAACGAATAAAACCTAATGCATGCAAACTAAAACAAATAAGCACAAAATAACATGTTTTTCACCCCCAAACTTAAAATTTTCGTTGCCCTCAACGAAATTAGCACAAAGTTTAAGGATATAAAACACCTGATTTAGTCGTAGCCGATGTAATCAGGGTGCCCCTCCCTAGCTCTCTCATGCTCCTCATCATCGGAAAGCTCTCTCGCTCCATCTTCATTCGGAATCGTCGATCGGCACGGGAGCTTGAGGCTTCGGGGTCGTCTCGGGCTTGAGGAGCGGCTTTGGAAGAGGAATCGTCGTTTTGGTGGCACTTTTCTTGCCTTTTCCTTTGCCTTTAGAAGATGAAGCTTCACTCGTGCGGCTTCTTTTGTTGGACAAAAAATTTGGGAGAGAGGTTGGAATAGATTCGGTAAGAATTGGTTGACAATCGAACTCAAAATTTGGTTGGAGCAAATTATCGAACACCTTGTGGGCGTGCCTTGAAAGAGTAGATTTTGGAGAATTTGGTTTGATTCTATAGCTTCCTTTTGTGTGTGAGAGTTTGAGAGAAGGAAAGAGGAGGGTTTAGGAAATAATGGGGGAGAAAATCTAATTTTTTTAAGTTAAAACGCCCCAAAACTAGTCGGACGGCCGTCCCGAGTTTTGTGCTGATTTTCGGACGGCCGTCCGACATTTTTTTCCTCTTCCTGGTTGTGGGACGGCCGTCCCACATTTACACCTATTTTTGGGACGGCCGTCCCATAGACAGAGATGACAATTTGATCGTTCTGTTTCCCAGACGGCCGTCCGGGATTTTGCTTGCAATTTCGGACGGCCGTCTCGACCCCCTGACCATGTTTT